AATAACCACTCACAGACTGCAGGTGGCAGCACTAACAGTGGCGGGAATATAAAGTGTGTCGGTTGGAGGCGGAAGTCCAGTAGTCGCAATGTACAACCGGCGCGATTTATAGGGCATCCAAGGGCGGAACCATTTTCAAACGGCTACATTTGTAAAATGTTCGCGTGCTGCCGTTGTTGAAGTATACGTACATGGCCAAATGGTAATGTCCAAAACGGCTGCGGAGATTTGTACGGGCAATAGACATGCAACTGTAGAGCAACTGATCACACAAATTAACCAAGGGGCTACCAACAGGGTCTCCTCAACAACCGTTCAGCGGAAGTTGCTGCTTATGGGTCTACACAGCAGGCGCCTGGTTCATGCTGACTGCTGTTCATCGGCGACGCAGGCTGGAATTTGCACACCGCAACTGGGCGTCCACTGAGTGTCGACAGGTGGGGCCTTTTCAGATGAATCACGTTTTCTCTTCCATCGGACAGTTGGTCGTGGGCGTATTCAGCGTGAAACGTCTGAACGCAAATATCCTGCAACAATCACTGAACGGATCCAGGCTGGAGGAGAGCTTGATGATGTGGGGAATGTGTTCGTAACATTCCTTGGGTGGTATCGTCATTCTGGAAGGCACAATGGATCTATAGCAGTATGCAGCCATCCTTGGAGACTATGTTCGCACCTACATTTAGACCGTTTTCCGCAACAAGACGTCATCTACCAGCAGGACAATGCAAAGTGCCATACAGTACGTGCGTGGTTCGAAGAGCACAAGGATAGTTTTACAGTACTCCCTTGGCAACCAAACTCCCCCGGTTTAAACCCAATCGAGAATCTGTGGGACCATCTTGATCAGGCTGTTCGTGCTGTGTTCCCAACCGAGAACCCTAGAGCAGCTGGCCAAGGCACTGGAGACGGAATGCATTCACATCGCAGTCGGTTCCATCCAGAACCAAACTCTCGTCCTACGCGTCTCGCAGCGGTCTGCGCTCAAAAGAGAGATTATTCAAGATTTTGACGGCTGCTCACATTAATGTGACTGGACTGTGTATAATGCAGTATTTACAATTTATACTGTATACTTTTAAACGACTAAATACGTCTGTAATAAATCATTTCAGCTTCTGCGTCAATGACACCCAATGACCATGATGTGTTTCGTTCACTTTCCCTAATTCATTGAACAAATGTTGATATGGTCCCTTGTTTTGTTTCTGAACTTAAATGTAGCATCTCTATGTGTACATAATGTTCAGCTCTTGTTTTGCTACATGTAGTAGGAGTCAAATCAGGGGTTTGGGTTGCTATTTTGTTAACAATACTATAAAATCAAATATGTAGTTCGTTTTCCAATTCTAATAAGTTTCCTACAACTCGAGACCGAAAATTCTAGTTTTCTAATGTTGATAATCTCGCTTTTTCGGTAATTTCATTCATCATACATCTGCATATAGTAAAAGAACGGAGAAGGTCCTCGGGTGCTGAAGGAAACGTGCACATATACAATACTCCCCCTTCTAAGTGACATATAGGTTTTACCTTTTTTTTAACGAAAAATAGATTTAAGCCAATAGCTGAAAACGAAAGTAGGATCCACATCACCTCTTCCTCTATTATCTCATCAAATGTGTTTCACGTTTCCCGTGTCTAAACCTACGAGACTTGAGATGTAATCAAAAGTTCTGTCATAATTACAATATTTATGAAAATAGAGAACGGTAGGTAATCCCGAGCTCAAGAGGATGTGTGAAGAAACTGCAAAGTTCTTTTTTTTTTAACTTTTGGAACGCGAGCATTGAAGTAAGATGCATTTCATCTCATTCTCATCATAATCATACTCTGGCTTGGCGGTTTACAATCTCGGTAAAGAACTAATCACACAAATATAATGAAAGGGTGATTAAAGTTACAATACATTAAAACAACTTTTCTGAGGAAACCATCACGACAAGCAATCAATGCTTTGCACAATTATTGAGAATTCAATATTGTGTAATTATTATTATTATTATTATTATTATTATTATTATTATTATTATTATTACTATTAGCTTTAAGCGATCAATTTTGCTGTTCATATCAGCGGAGCTATTAGAGGACAGTGGGGGTTGAGAAGACGGGTTGCACCGGATGATACCGTCTTACGG